ATTTAATTTTAGTTTTGTTTTGGTTGCTATGCCTTGACTCTGGTCCGGCATAGTACACAGCCACCGGTGTGTACCGAGTATAACCCACTAAACCCAACACACAATAATAATAATAATAAAACATTATAATGATTAAATGACGTAAAAACTGATCATTTTTTAGATCCTTCTATGGCTGTACATAGGTTTAACATAATTTCGCCTGCCAATATATCAATATTATTGGATTGCAATTTGAAAAAAATTTGTAAACCTATGAATTTCCAATATCATGTGTCAGTCTAACTGTCGTTTGGTAATCTCGTGAAGGATATTAGATACATGAAAGTCATAACCAGATCTAGAAAGCGTAGGGGGATCAGTCCCAGGTTAATTGTACATGAAGTTCGGATGCAAACCGGAGCTCACGTTATTTCAATTCAAACTTTTTCTCTGAAACGAGTTAGATAGTTGATCAACACGACTTTAATCTTAAAGTATGATGTACAGGGACAAGTTACTACTATTAATTTGAGATGGAGAACTATAATGAAATAAAATAAAAATTCAGCTTGGCATTGTGACCATGTCACAATAAATAATTGCTTGTATGATTTGCAATAATTAAGAACATTATTAAAATCTGAATTCATATCGTCCCAATTAGTGTAATGTGTGACTTGTGCACTTTTATATTAGTGTCCACATTTATTTTCATAATATTTATAATATATGTTAACTTTATCTTAAATGTTATATTTTCTAACATGTTATTAAAATGTAACATTACAAGCACTTACATGCAAACTATTTGAGTTGTAGAAAAGAGAACCTTCTCGTTTTTCATTTTGCAGAACTTTACTTCTGCTCTGTAAGGATCTTTCACAGCTGTAATCGTTAATCATAGAAATTACAAGAATTATTAAATAACTGCTAATAAATTTTAATAATTTTCATAAGACAGATTTCTTGAAGTGTTTAAATATTACAAATAATATACTTTATGACAATAATTTATACAGGACACTGCCAACATATAAACATTGTTTAATATATCACTAAACATTGCCTCGGTTAACCTACCTATATTGCATGCCATACAATTTATACGTTAAAAGTAATATATTTATAAAAATAAATAAGTGGTGGCCAACGAAGTCCTGTATATGCAGTATAAAACTTATGTGAGACGACTCGGTAGAATCTTGATTGATAAGATCGCTGGTTCTCCAAAGTGATAACTTTATTGCTTCGGTCATCCAGTAATATAACGTTTTTAAATAATATCAATATATACTGCATGAATGAATATTAACAGATAATTAATTTAAATAGTTATGATTTATGAAAGAATCGTTCAGCTTTAATTAATATTTTCAGTATTAAAGCGAATTAATAAAACATATAATTTGTTCGGATTATAAAAAATTTCTATGGTCTTTCCAGCAAGACACTTTTCACTAATTTTTGTGATTTTGTCGAATATCTCTCAATTTTTACACCTGCGAGTAAATTTTAAGTTCTTGCGGATCTTGTCATTTTTCTATAAGAACTAGCGGCAAGCTGAGTTAGTTGTCACCAGTTTCTCAAAAAGGAAAGGTCCTCTCCAATTCCTTCACAACACAAAAATCGTTGTTGGTACCTCAGTAACTAAAGCCACCGCCTGCTCCTTAAATAATACAGGCCGAGCATCTCCTCCAATACAGGAATATCGTCATCTCTGACAGAGAAATATAATTATTTCCAATAGAGGAATATATCACTCTGACACTACTGTGACTGGAGAATTGGCACCTTTTCGATGTTGTATCAGAATGGCCTATCCTGTAACCTAACTTCAAACAAAAACTATTTGCTGTCACGGCTTCTGTGTTGAACGGGACAAAGCGGTGTTATCCTGATGCGGCATCAAAGAGATGTCAACTCTCTGGTCACAAAAACATCGAAGAAATTCATTCGTTCATTAGTTTATACTTAGAAATCAATTAACTTTTTAAGTACTAATAATTATTATTATTATATAATTATTTACAGTCAATATTTTTAATAGATTTTGTAAAATATCAGATATTTTTTTAAACTTGCGGGCATTCAGAATAAAAAAAACAGTGAAAATCCGTCTTAATCTGAAAAACAATAACAAATATAGAAAAAGGAGGAGCAGTTTTGTGTGCTGCAATTTGCAAAGTGGGGATACTGTATTGAGGTGCAAAGTGAATTCTGTAGTTGGTTCAACAAACTGCTAGCTCATAATATGTAATTGTACGGGTGGAACAAAATTTTTGTAGAAGATAGTTGCATATAAAAATGGAAAAGAACCACAGTCAACAAATGTTAGATGAAAATGTTAAGCTTATCCGAAGTTGCTTCATATGAAACCATACGAAATCCACAATACGAACAAGCATTAAACTTGAAATTCTTCAAAGATCAGTATAACATGTTCAAAATTCTAATCTTCTATTATGGTTCCCTGGAGCAATGACCATGGATGTCGGTTCTTTAAAACTTGAGGTATGGAATTTTGTGAAAGCAGGACCCTTTCGCAAAATGGTGATGCATTGCTTAGAGTTAGAAAAATTTTGATACTTTGGATTATGTAAGAGTTCGATTGGTCAACATCCAAGGAAAAAATTTGTTTTCATACAGAGAGCAAGTGCCTTGACTTGCCTTGCATTAAATTATCAATAATTTCTTCAATATTCTGAGGTATGGAATTTCATACCTGCAGGAATGTGAGGAATGGAGTCTTCCATACCTTCCATAGTAGAAATGACATTTCTGGCAATGACTAAGGTAGCTGCAACTTCTATGGTTTCGTCTTCACGCAGTTCTTAAGTATACGCCATACTCGTAAAAATAGTTATGACAACGCGACTGTTTTTTCAGTGACATCAGAATTCACTTCGAACTTCAATTATGGTTTCATACTACAAAAACTGCAACACAAATAATGACTTTTACCGTGAGCCATTATTACTTTTAATTACTATTACTTATTATTATTAAGAGAATTATTTAAGACTACAGTAGAGCGTCGTTTATCCGAATCAATGGAGGACTGGGGTTGTTCGGATAACTTATTTTTCGGATAACCGATTATATACGAAAAAAATATATTAACCTATCCCATGTTGAAATGTTTCTCCGTTGCGTGTCGCTTCGCGTTGAATTTTCGTCAATATTAAGCTTAACGAAAACTTTTTAAAATAATAATCGTTGCTATTGTATCGTTAAAAATTATTTTTTTTATTTTGTACAAGCAAAATAAATATATTGAAAAATATAAAAACAAAAAAATATATATTTTAGAAGTTGATCTACTATCAAAAACGCTTGATTCAGCACGATACACAGTCCTCAGAAAAACACCACACAAAAGTGCCAGTGCTGCCAGCTACAACACACCCAAAAAAAAAAAAAAAAATATTGGAGTAGCGCAAGATATAGTCAAAGATTGCAGTGCCACAGCACTAGCAAAAATTTAAATTTGCCGACTGGAATGCTTTCGGATAAACGACGCTCTACTGTAGTAACAATTCTTACTTTAGTTGTTATAAATCTCTGTTAACACTGCTACACACGATAAAATAAAAACATGGTAAAGATATTGAATGCATATACAAAAAGCAAAATATTAACAGTATAATTAAAATATTTAAATATTTACAACATTACTTGAAACAACGTATGTAAGTTTACTATAAACAACTAGCTAAGTGTCTGTAACACTTTGCTTTTACAGCGAATAATTTATGTTTTTCAGAACATACATGCGACTATTATTGAAGGCAAAGTATTAACGGAATAAATTTAATAACTACTTTTCACTTGAATATTATTCAAAGAACAGTGCGAAAAACCGAAAACACTCGCACTGTATTTTAAAGTACGAGAAATATACGTAAACCAAGCTAAACTGAATGTGCAATTTTTCAGTACATACAGCGTTACTACCAAAGAGCTCTGTATACCTTTTTTATTACAGTACGTTTACTAATGAAAAGCTGTATATTATAATATACAGTATACGATATTATTATTAACTTACCCCACTGAAGAATATTTTCTATATCTTCTCGATTACATGTACTCGGTATGCAAATATCCATACGATATACATGTTCCGCAAAGTCAGCCATTTCAAGCACTTTATTCAGCAAATGCGGTTTCTGCAATTAAAAAAAAACTATACAAGTTGGCCTTCCAAATTAATTGTAACTATTAACATTTCGAATATTAAAACTTACAACAAATTCTCCGATATTTGTAAAGATTTTTCTAGTTTTATTGTCTTCTGGCACATCAATAAATTTATACGAATTAAATCCGACAGTTAGCGCACAAAATTTCCCATAAATCGAGTTTATAGTTTTATCTCTTTTGCTGATTTCATTGTCTTTAACTTCGATCTTCAGGCATTGATCGTAATTTCCGTGGTACCAGAACTTTCCAGTAAATATCCCCAATGGTTTCCCAAAAGAATCAATCACTGAAAAATTCGTGTTAAAACATTTATTATTAAAATTTATGCTAATTTTTGTATTAATTAAACAATTTTCAAATCAAAAATATATTATAAAAGCTACATTAATATCCACATTTTCTTACTACTTTGTATACGAAATTAATCTTCCGTTAGTAATTCTTTCTTAGATATACTGAAAGTATATTAAATTATCAACGAAAATCATTTAGCAAATGAAATTTCATAATATAACTCCTTATGTGGTTCATTATTCTTTCTGTCTTATAAATTCTAAAAATGTCGTTTCTTGAAAATATCTAAAATTCCGCAAAGAATAATAAAATTAAAATATATTAAAGTGAAAACTTCAGGTAATTTATTAAAGTTAAAAAGGAAGCAGCTGAAGAAAAATCTGATTCAGGAATAAATTGGTAATAAATTTGAAGCATTTGCAAAGAAAATCTTTTTCAAAATGTCCACATTTTCGTATTGTAATAATATATATTGGTTCAAATATATAATATACTAATGTACTTTTTTTCTAAACCTCCATTATCTTTACAAAAATTCTTACATTTGTACAGGTATAATTATCAAGGAAACAAACATACTATGTAGGGCTGTTTGTTTTTATACATTTCAAGCTAATTTCGTGAAACTGCTAATTTCGTGAAAGTTTGGAAATATTGACTACATTGATGATGTGAAAACTGAGTTGGCAAACAAAATATTTCTACTTATGTTTTGTGTTTGAAAAGACTCTTTACCATATTTAATTTTGAGAAAATCTAATGGCATTAATATGTTGTATAATGCTGCGAAGATCTTTTAAAACATTCTTGCACAGAAAACCAAATTTCTTAAATTTAATACTTTTGTGCAATTTCAAATTAGGTTTTACTTTACACTCTTTTACTTTAATTACTTTGGTTTCGCATCTTGTCAGCTCGATTCCATACGTTTGAAATTTTCAAATCTATTCTGAAATTGATCAAAATATTTTACACACCCTCAATGTACTTACACGTGGATTTTGGATTCCTTTTCTCAACTTTGAACAATGTGGAGAGCACTCGAAGCTTCTGTGAGATCCGACACGTGAGGAAACCAATTTGTTTTTCTTTCTTCTAAATTATAACAACTGTAACATATTTTGAATAAATTAATCACTTTAAAAAGAAAAACAAAAACCCCATCGTCAGAAAAACGAAATCAACTATTTCCCTTATATAAACATATCAGTATCAAATTACAACTCTCTCCTTTAACGTAAACATTCGACCATCTAACAATAGCAGTCGTCTGCAAGTCTTAATGTTGACGATTAACGTCCAACTTCGACGATTTATTGCAGCCCGGGACCACCTTTAATTAACCCCACACCTGCTAAAACAATTGGTCAGCTGACTAATTCTCCCATAGAAAAAAAGTATAAAAGACACCCTTCTTCCCCTCTCGGGGGAGTCGCTGATCAGAAGTCGATCAAAGTGCATCAGAAGCCGTCTAATCTGGCCATCTCGTCAAAACCTATCCCGAACCCATCGGACCTGTACCAATTTGCCGACTTTGCTGGAGAAATATAACCCTGATTGACTCTCAGGAGGTATGAACTTGATTATAAACTCTCTCTCCCGTACGTGTATTAGAAGGAGTCGTGTAATCTTTAATGTCCTTAGTCAGTAAAATAAACTTCTGTTTTGTTTAGAATGGTGTTTTTTACTCGACTGTACATCGTCTTATCGTCGACCCTTCTGACTCTCCTCCACTCGCATAACGCGTAACTGAACGTAACGTCATCCTCGACAAGAAAGTAGGTCACCGACCTGTGGCTATATCGGAGAGGCTTTTCCAACTTCCCTGGCGGCTCACACTTCGATTGAAACTTACTGGTGTGGATGAAAAAATACCTATTCATCTCGTTGAGCTTTTTAATTCTAAATTCATTTTATCATCAGCTATATTTCGTAAAATTTTTAAATTATCTGAAAAACTTTTGCTCCTTTAATTCTATGATGAGGAAACCATTAACGTCTGTAAACAGTCTTAATTCATCTCTCAGTACATAAAAATACTTACGTAGAATATTTCAGATTCCTTTACCATGAAACTCACAGTGACACAAAAGAGTATGCTTCAAAGTAACGGAAAATATTTTTAAACATATCTGTCTACTTTACTCTAACCTTTGCTTTTTATAAAATTAGCAAACTTCTCATAACTTTCATTATATTCACGATCTTTAGAGAGTATTCAATTTTATACAAATTAAACATTGTTTGTTCATTAATGGTTTTTGAATATATTCAACCATTTTTACTTTACTGGATTTGCTATATATAACAGAAAGAACGTATGGCGATTGGCCAAAAAGTGACCACCAATATTTTACATTTTTGGACTCACAAGACCTTGAAAAATAGAATAATACAAAAAATTCGGGTTTTTTTCACCCTTTAAATTTGTATGTTAGTGTGTGAGGGGCACAATTTCGTTCACCATATTTGAAGCTTAATAACTCCTGTCCGTTTTGTCGAAAAGTTCTAAAATTTTTCATGAAGGTTTGTGTATTAGGGAAATTGACGATATTAGATTTTGATGTAAGGTGAGTGGGGTGGGGAGATAATGGGATTCGTGTGTTATATCGGGTCAGACTTAAAGACAATTTTACTGCTTATTAACAAATACCATTTTTATATAAAATCCATCTCTATCCTTAAAATTAAGCTTTTCACTTTGTAACAATTAAAAATATAGGGGAGATCGGGGCAAGATCAGCATGTTAAGCTTTACTTAAATTTTGTGTAATAAATACTGCTGTAAACTAAAAAAAAAGCTTTGCATATTGTCTATTGGAATGTTACCTTACTACAGAACTGGTTAAAATCAGTTTGGAAATAAAAATAATTAAAATAATTACAACTTTACAAAAAGAGAGAAATTGACGAAGTTGCCCCGGGTATAGGGGCAAGATCGGCAACTTCTCTCTTTTTGTAAAGTTGTAATTATTTTAATTATTTTTATTAAAGTTGCCCCTGGTATAGGGGCAACAGTAATGGGGCAAGATAGGCACGTATATAAAATTATGTTATTAACAATGTATAAGTTGGAATTCACTATTAAAACAAAGAAATACAAATCCAACACCCATTTAATATTATTACAACGAAATGCAAGTTCAAAGACATATATACATGAATAACAAATGCAAACATGTTTTCATTTATCATCTGTTTGATTTTTATCCTTTGCTTCTAATGTGGCTTTATGTTGCCGATCTTACCCCGCTAGTCATGATTTCGAAACATTAAGTACAACCCTGAGAACAGAATGCCAAGCCACGATCTGGCCACGTGAATAAGTTGAAGTTACATCCTTCTAACAGGAAAAGTAACTTTCGTTATCATGGAATTATAACAAAACCTGCCAATTCAATATAAATGGAAAAAAAATATTATATGGAATTGAACGAAAATGAAAATTTGCTTGATAATTCAACTACGCTTGTTGGAGAACAATAAAAACACTACACTCAACAAGCCACCAATAAAACTCAACTGCCTAACCTATAACCAAAGTCTCCTTTTAATTTGTTTTTTAAAAAAAGCGCTTGACAAACTTGCCCCGCTTGCCGAAGTTGCCCCGATCTCCCCTAAGTTTTTAATAATAAAATATCGTAGCAGACGCTGCCACACAAGCAGTTTTAAATGTTGCCCGGAAGGGTAAGAAACTCATTGTAATATTTTTCTTATCTGCTTTGGTCTCTAAATCTGTTCTAAGAACTGGTTTGAGTTACAGATTCCATTAGATAAATAGGCTTTTTAAAAAAGTATTGTCGTTTTAATAATATATTTGAAAGATGATTTTGTGTCTAAACAGTTTTCTCTATATAGATGTAAAAACTGCATATTTTTTAGCTTGTATAAAGATCAAAGTGAATTAATTGAAATTAGATCGCCACCGAAATTTCGTTTTTTATCAAGTTTATCTGCATTCCTGACCTTCATATTCGTTATTTTCGACTCACAGAGTTTTTTTTTCCATTGACCTGGTTGAAATTGGGTCAACAAAGTTAATTATGGAATAAAACAGTTTTAAATTCTTTTTCTAACTCAAATTCAAAAGATTTAATTTGAGATAGTATTTTAATAGGATATGCATTGATTTGTTACTCTGAAAGGTAGATAAACGTGATAAATTACAAAATAGTACAGTTCGATAGCCTTTTCTTGATAGACATTTTTATTGAATTTTGGGAAATTGTGTTGATGATGTGAAAAGTTCTAGAAGCTGTAGTTGTAAAAATAAATTTCATTTAAAAAGCTAATTGAACCGGTGTATTGTTATCATACAGAACAACACAATAAGAAGCAAAACACAATGTTTTCTGAAAAATGTATGTGGTCTTGAGAATGAGCCATTATTTATTGTTACATAGTCAAAATGCCGGGTTGCAACTTTTAATCGTACTATTAATTTATCTAACTTAAAATATATGCTCTCCACCATAAATTGAGGTGGAGAGCATAGTTTGCCCATATACATCATACTTTCCCTTTAACAATAGATCGTGCCACTCATCTATTTAACACCTTTCAAGAAAAATATGTGAATTGAAAGAACGTGACTTCCGGTTTGCAGCAAAAGTTCGTGTACTCTTAATCGGGTCAAACTACCGCGAGTCTTTCTATCTCTTCTCTCGACTTTCATACGTGTGACATCTTTCTCGAGATTAAGAATTGGCAGCCAGACAAAAGTAAGAATTCATAGGTTTACAATTTTTTCAAATTACATCTGAAAATCAGAATATTATCATCTGCTTATTCACCATCTCATCCTCAGAAGAGTGTGTTCGATGGTGAACAGCATATGAATGAGCCCTCTACAGTTTACTCTGTTATATTTGACCGATTTCACGTATGACACATTATTCAAGCTTCTAAAGCAAAAAACAATTTTAATTATCTATCTGATCTTCATTATGCTGTATTAAATAGTGTTGAGTAGATGCTAAACATGTAGATCCTAGTTCATGTTTGTCATTAATATGAAAGATAGGTCATTATTAATATCATTAACTTTTACAATTTTTTAACTATTTGCAGTTTTTTATCATAACTATTTTAAATTAAAAATGGTTCCCTGGTGTATTTTCTACATTACATAATTCACATATTTTATGCAATTTAAAACGTAACACCTAGAAAGTAAAATCCTTCTATCGAACGAACTCCCTCCAATTACTTTTATAAATGTCACGTGAGAACTCCCACAAGCTCGGTTACGTTTTGTACTCCTATGCCTACAAACATAAAATAAATATAACTATAATTGTACCAAAAAATATGTTATTATTTTATTAATATAATAAAAAAATTAAAAATTTATCTTATGCATTACACGTATTATATGTTCGAATTTTCAGTGATCGAAAGAAAATTCGAAATTAGTAATTGCTTACACGTTATGTAATCACTATTTCGAAGTCCGAACTCACATTAATTTTTATCTTTAGATTATTATATGTTGTATTTTTCTCCTTACAATTTACTTTCATTGTAATTTTATACTACGGATACAGAGTAATTTTAAATGTTGTGATTTAATGTTTATTTAGAATATGTATAAGATATAAATAATACTGTTATATCATAATTTTGATTGTTTTTATAGAAATTTATTTTGCTCTTCTTTTATAATGGACAGGTATCCATTTTATTAATATATTTTTTTTTATTTAAAACTGTTTAAAGTTTACTGGTTTTACAATTTATGTGTATATTTTAATATATATTAAAATCCAGTTGCCACTTTTATAACCGTAACACACATAAAACTTTTGCCATCCAGGTAATATTGTGTTCGTTTTAACTTTACATATACGTTGTAATGTTTCGTATCAGACTGATGTAAAGAGAAGAAATGAGATGATTATTGTACAAAAGGCATAACCTCCGGAATTAATAAAGCCAGTATATCTGTTTTCGTTGTTTGTTCCTGTGTGATTCGTTCTGTCAATCAATTTAATGCTTACACCTAGTAATTAAAATCGAAACGAAAAGGCAATCTAGTACAGATAATTGTGCTGCAATTTGAAAAAATTGTAGACCTGTAAATTTCCACTGTCGGCTGTCTGTATGTTTGTCCGCTGTCTTTTCTTACTCTGGAGAACGGAGTAAAATATTAGAAAGAAAAGACCAAACCTATAAACCATCGGGATAGGACCCCCAGATATAACAACTTTCAACGAAAACCGAAAGTCACGTTTTTACAATTCAAAAATTTTCTCCTGAAAATACTCAGATGATTGGCGTGACTCTCTTCTTTTCAGGAAAAGTATGATGTACAGAACCAGGACACTACTTATTGAGATGATAAATGTATAACTTTTCTGTTGGCCATTTATACCTTTTATATACTTATCAATGCATATAGTGTACAATATGACATAAGAGTTCTTTCTTAATGAAGAGTATTGTTGAGTACATCCACAATGGTATTGAAATGAATACAGGTTCGTAGGTGTCAGTAAAAACAATACATTATATTGAGAATGATATTTTTGAAAATTCTTTCAGGGGTTTGAAAAGAATTCGGGTTATTTTTGTACGTATGGATGTCAGTGTGTTTGTATGTGTGTATTGTGTGTGATGCAATTTTGTTCTTCCTATTTGATGTTTACTGTGCATTTATAAAAATGTCTGAATTTAGCAGGGAGTTGGTGTATAAGGAGGAGTTATGTTATTAAATATTGATGTTTAAACGTCGATAGGGGTTGGGAGACAAGGAGGTCATATGTTATGTCTAGAGTTGAACTTAATGACGATTTTACTGGTTATTAGCAATTACAAATTTCTATAAAATATTTCCGTACCTTCAAAATTCAATTTTTTGACATTCAATAGTAGTCAATAATGTAAGAACATTTAAAAAAGTAAAATATCATAACACATAGCGCCACTAAAATTTAAAAAATTGCCAAGAATGTTAAGCAACTCGTTGCTTGATCTTTTAGTATTTTAATTGTATACTTTTAAAATTAATATTTTGTTTAGTTTCACTCTTTAATAAAAATATTTCGGCATACATTAATAGAGGACAGGGTTATCTATACAACGATTTAATTCTAATACTTATTTTAATACCAATTTTTACAATTATAATTATAGTAAAACTTAATAACATATATTTGGTACATCAAAATGCGACTATATATATATATGTATATAACCGCTTATATATCTATTTGGTAATTATGTAAATTTAAATACTTTAATTTAGAAACAATAATTACTTACATTTTAATGCCCAGCTTTTACTTTGCTTTAAATCGTCCAAAAATCGCATCCCACTTTCAATACAAGAGCGAGAAATATTTACTTCTTGAGTAATTTTCAACAAAACAGGAAGCATCAATCGAGCAAAATTACTCGTAGCATAAGTAAATACATCGTGAAAATCATTTATGATACGAGCAGCTTTTTCTACGTCATCGTAAACTGCACTTATCTTTGACTCAGATGAATCTTCAACAGTTATAACATCAGCAAAGGGAATTACGAAAACGAAAACAAGGACAAGAATTACGCTATTCATCCTTGCTGTAAAATGACTCCACATACCACTGCGTGAAATTGAAATACTGTAAGATGTAGTTTTTTTATGGAAATATGTTACTCTTTCGTGAATGTAAAAGAATTTAATTAGATAAAGCAAATGTTCGGCATGGAAATATAATAAAAATGTGCATTTATAATCATTCATTTATCTCTAACTTGAATCTCTCTTCGTATTAAACTTCAAGGTTAACAAGAAATTATATTAAATTCCAAAATTAGCAGAGTATATATTTAAAAATTTTATTTAAACTTGTTTTTTAATTTTTAATTCCATTTATTCCAGTTTATTTCTGGCATTATTTAAAAATTTATAACTATGACAAACGTCATTGTTCATTTACAGTTATAGTAAGAAAAGAATTTTTACATAATTAAAACAGAAAAATTTAATTTTTCTTTAGTTCTGTCAAAAGAGATTGTTTCTGATGATTAAACCTGAAGAAATTGAAATAGAATTACTTTACTCCATACATTTTACTTGTCATTATTCACAATTTCCTTGAAGACTTTGTGATACGAATAAAAAATGCGTTGCAAGAAATTAACATGAATTTCCCATGAATTTTACATTCTTGCACTGAGACGGCCTTGAAACGACGAGCCATAAAAAATGGACTTTTTATTCTATATGTTTGGATGTTAATTTGGTTGGGGAGCAGAATTTTCTACAACTTATTTGAAGCTAAATAACTTCTCAGACTTTTGTCGAAAATTTTTCAAATATTACAAGAAAGATGGAAAAGTAGGGGGATTTCTGCTATTAAATTTTAGTTGTTAAAGGTCGAGGGAGTGAGGAGAAAATGCAGTTCGTGTGTATCTCCAGTAAGGTCGGACATAATGACGAGTTTACTCGTTATTAGCATTTAAAATTGCTATTTTATATAGAAAAAAAAATTCTGTTTTCTATATTAAAATGTTTTCTATATTTAAAATTTTCTGACTGTTATATATTACAGAGGGAAAGCATAGCAATTGGTCAAAAATGACTTTGAAGTTATAGACATCTTTCGGACTCATGGAACCTTTACAACGTCGATAAATGCCAAAAGAAATTTGGGTTTGTTCTGTATGTATCCATGTTAGTCTATGTCTGTGGGGGAAGCCCCATTTTGTAAACCCTGTTTGTAGCTTAATAACTCCTTTTCGTCGAAATTTTCTGAAAATTTGCAGGGAGGTTTGTGTAATAGAAAAATACATTGTTTAATTTTGATGGTTAAATAGCGTACAAATGTACAGCATTTAACCATCGTTTCCATTCGTACACCATTGTACGAATTTTGATGGTTAAATGGTTTGATGGTTTGATGGTGTACGAATACAGCTGCTACCCCTTTTATGTATAACTGTCAAAAACTTGTCAGAAATGTAATGCAGACGTTCATCACCAAATGACGTCTTATCGGAAAGTCCGTTTTGTATCGTTGTTTGCCATTTACTAGCGCATAGTTGAAAATGTTGTTAGGAAATTCTTACAAAATAACATCTTTTATATGTTGTTTGCATAATTGCAAAGACAATGATTATTGAAAAAAACAAAAAGTAAATTTATTTACAAAACAAAAAGATTTAGAATTATTTCAAAAATGGAAACCAGCGTTTCCTGAGAAACCGAGAGTTTTCGTTATGAAAAAGTAAATTTTAAAAAAGCGTTAGAAAAGAAATCCAAAGAGGATCTTACCACTTGAAAAATTTAAAATAAAAATTGGATCGACATATTAAGAGGTGTATTTGGGAATGTGATGAGATAATTGATTAAGTTTGTGCATTTACAGATATATTAGAATGCATAACATATTATGCCAATGGATTGTAAAGTTTGTATTTAGATAATAACCAAAGGTGAAAGTAATCATCCTGTGACACAGTTGACTAACTTCAAAACGAAAAGCAGATTTATATAATCAAACACTTTTTTCACCCCTTACCCAAAGTTATCAAACAACTGTTAAAAGACAGCATGATTTGTGATGGCATTTTGAATGACATTGCGGAAACACTCAGAATTTTTATTATATACAAGAATTACTGTACATTCCCTGTAACATACTCGTTTTAATGTAAAACACATAAAAATAAAATAATAAAATATTATGTACTTCCAAGTTTAAGTTAATTTTCCAAACAACATAAAACGAAAGAGCAAGACATTTCAAAAGAAAAACAAAAATATTTTCAAATTCCTTTCTGAACAAAACTGTTTATTAATAATTTTTTGATATCTTTATATTATTGAGTTTACATTGTTCAAATGATCCTCTGTTAACAATTATTCAATACTAAAATTTGTCGCAAGAAAAAAAACTATATGCCAAAATTACTGTCAAGTGCATACAGAATAAAACTGTTCGTAAAGAACACTTCAAAACAACAGATATCTTTAATTAACAAGCGTTTTAACTATTTCGACAAGAATAAAGGAAATCTATTCTTATTGCCTAGTATGTAATGATTTACAATGTTGAGAAACAGTAAACTTCTCAAAGTAAGGACAAAGTCTTCACTACCGGTAGATGTCAGTCATTAACAGGTTATTTTGCGTCACAGAACTTTTACGGAAACTAAATTAAAAAGTAATCGACGGTTTATGTACTTAAATTACTTTAAATAGCTAAAGTAATACATGATATAAATCTTTTTACAGTATGAAAATGTTTGTTTAATAAAAATTTTTAAAAAATTACACGTCTATTCTGTTATTTTACGTAAATTTCATTAATTTTATTGAAATTAACTGAAATTAAAGAACAATTAGCAATTGTATTTGTTTTCTAATGGTAAAAATCTTGTAACGACAGTTACGTAAATTTCCCGGCTTTATGAGTTTTTACTGTATTTTAAAAATGTTCATATTCTTAAGAAAATATAAAATTGTTTGTGGCGCCATGTTATAAGACTTATTGTACAAAACTTTTATATTTTTAATTACTACAACATAGCAAAAAGCTAAATTTTGAAGGTAGAGATGAGTTTTATAAAATAATGTAAATGTTAATTACGAATAAACTCTCTATTAAGTCCTACTCCAGTTGAGATATTGAGATACATCACGCACTCTATTTCCCCACCATCCTTACTTTTCACCACCAAAATTTAACAGCATCAATGTACAGTACTTCATATACAAGCCATCGTACCACATTTCGATAACATTAAAAGTGCTCAGCAAGTAAACACATAAATTAAAACACCTTAATTTGTTGCTGAGAAATATATTTTAAACACAAACGTTTTTAACCTGATTAACAGGCCATCCTCAGGTCTAAAAAAACGAAAATGGAACAAATACGTTCCATGTATACAATATAAATATTTAAATCAAAATTTAGAACAAAAAGTTTTAAAAATATATAGAACATTTTGAAACAATAT